GTGGCTGCGGCTTCTTCTTCCTCTCGTGTTTCTTCCCTTTTTTTTTTTTTTGAATGAGATGGGGCAGCGAGGAGGTCGAGCGGTGGTCGAAGGTCGCTGGCCGGGGAAACAGCAACAACGGTGGTGGTGGGGAAGAAGGGAAGCAAGGCTGCAGCGGGCTGCGCCAAGGATCGTTGCTCTGATACCAAATGATAAGACCCTAAGGTCTTATCGTAGAAGAGATGAGGATGCTCTGATACCAAATGATAAGATCCTAAAGTCTTATCGTAAAAAAGAAGAAGAGAAAGGGGATGATCACTTCGAGGGGATCGGCCTCCTTGATCGCTTCGAGGGGATCGGCCTCCTAGGGTTTGTCAAAAGACAAAATAATATTTTTCTCATAGATAACTGAAAAGAAGCAGTTACATCCTTATTTATAGAGTTCTACCCATCAGAACTTGAGCTCTAATAATAAATAAATATTAAATAAATCTCTTCTTGATTCTAATTGAACTAAACCGACTTAATAAACAACTGGACTAAATAGACTCAATAAACATTAGTCAAAAGCTCAGAAAAAGGATCCTAACATTGATGGACTGGTATGTATCGCCCGTTCCAGACAGTATTATTCAAAATTAAAGACCTTGGGTAAAATTCTTTACCATTTCATGCACAAGTTTTCAGTCTGTACATTTCTTCCCAGATGACCTTTTATCTAATGAGTTACTACGCTCTTGTATGAATGTTGCTCCCAAGTGATCCTTATCTCTTGTATAATCCATGAGGACCCTTATTTGATCATTATCAACAACAACCACAAACTATAATGCTTTAATTATTTGGGATGAACTAAATGAATTTTTTCTGACATTGATCCTTTTAATAAATATCTTTAGTTAAATTAAAACATTTATATCCATATTTATAGTTTTAATTAAAGCCTTCACTCGTGCATTTCCATGTGTCTCTTTAGAACACGTCTATGTCATCTTAGGTAATTCTTCCTCATATTATTCTTTACCTGAGTTAAGACTAGTTGTACAGAAATGAAAATATTTTTTTTTGGCTCCCTAGCAACTCCATAGATCCACTTTAACATTCACATTCAGCTACAAAATTTTTTATATATGATGCATCTTAATCACCCAACAGTCACATTTATAAATCATGAATATCTTAACTATCTTGTAAAATTGTTCTTTTAATCTAAAAGGACACTTGGAGCCATTTCTTTTTAGATTTTAGCCAACTAATTTTTATTCTGTATATAATATCTTCATCAATCTTTCATCATGTTGAATAACAAAGCCAAGATACCTAGTACTCTTACTGAAATTACTTGTCCATTCATATTAACTATATTCATAGTTTTCCTTGTAGTATTACTAAAATTACATTACATATATTTATTCTTAGTCATACTTAAATCAAACCTTTTGATTTTTAAGGCCTATCTCCATAACTCAATTTAGAAAATATTCTTTTTCCCATCCCGAATACTAGGTTAAGGATGAAGAACATTATAATGTCTTTTATCTCGCCACCATCATTGCTCTTATCTCTTTGTTGGTCGCCCTTACCTGATCCATATTTATTTTGTAGCTGCTAATGTGTATCATTTAAAAGGTCATTTCCAAGCAAGAATATTAAACTATAAAATATCAAATCAATCCTATCAAATGATACATATGTAATTTGGTAAGTCCATGGTTGAGTAAAGCAAGGTTCTCAATTTCGATGTGTACCACCCAATACGATCGGTACATACTGGTCCGAGAGAATATCGGTATACGAACTGCCCTCTATTGGGTAGTTTTAGTGTTTTGACCGGTATCAAGGCATACCGACTGGTATTACCACTGATTTCGACCATTACAGAGGCATACCGATCGGTATGCCCTAGCGTAGTAGGTGGAGATATTTTTAAGGTTTTAGGATATATTATTAGTTCACTAGGGCATATCGATGATACATACTGGTACATTGCTCGGTACGTCAGTATGGACCGGTATTCAAAACCCTAGAGTAAAGACTACATAATAGTTATACGCATAACTTTTTTATTTAATAGAATGTTAATTGACCTAGATATAAGCATAATTCATTATATTTTTATTAGTTAAGTGGTCTTCAAATGTTATAAGTTGCCATATCTGCAACATCTTCTATTGTCCTACATTAGTTGGTGATAATGCCATGCCATCAAGGATAACTTTTCAACTTGTTCTAACTCGAAGAATCACTCATAGTTATGTGGTGTTATCATGGCCTAATTGACCTTTTAACTTGATAAACAAAACCATATGGTCCAAGATACTTATTATCAAGGATCATCGTTTCAAGCAAGGTATGTAATACCGTACCGTACCGGTGTTTCAAGGTTGGCTCGGTACGGTACGGTACCGGCGTACTGAGCGATACACCAGGGCGTACCGAGTGGTACACCCTGGTGTACCGAATAATTTTATATATTTTTCTTCATTACTGTAGCACTGTAGTATTGCTACAGTATAGAACTGTAGCACTGATACAGTGAAATACTGTAGCACTATAGCGGTACCGGGTGGTCCGCGTACCGGTATGCCGTCGGACCGGTACGTAATGCCCGTATCGGGCGGTACCATTCGGTACTGCATACCATGGTTTCAAGTATGGGACCTGTTTTGGTGATTTGGTCGGACCGGTATATACTAGTCAGTATTGGTATATAATGTGTTGGTACACTGGTACTTACTAGTGTTTTGGAGAGGAAGAACAAAGAGAAGAGAAAGGGTAGATGAAGGAAGAGGAGGAAGGAGGAAGGTGGAAGAAGAGGAGATAGAGGAAAAGAAGGAAGAAGCAGGAGAAAGAGGACAAGGAGAAGAGGCATACCGGAGAAGTAATTAGGACAAAGGTCATGCATGGCAGCAATGTGCAATGAAATTGCGACAAGTGGAGGTTGCAATGTGTGGTGACCTAGTGGCCTACATGAGAAGCAAAGGTCTTTTGGGCTGTGAAGTTATGGTTGCATGAGAAGCAGTGGTGTCGATCGCGGTGAGAAGTCATGGTGAGAAACAGAGGTCACAATTGCATAAGAAGTGGAGGCGGCATGCTTGAAAAGTGGACGTGATTAGGGTAAGAAGTTTTCCTTTTATATGGTGGATCGGACTAGGCGCAGTCCACGTACCAACGGACGCTTAGACCGATATGTACCACTCGTTTGTTATTGGTTTGAGTAAAATATCATTCCTTGCTTAATTATTATACTCATCAAACCATTACAACCTATTTAAATTATTTTCCCACTTTTGCTGTGGGATTACATGGGGGCTACTATAATTTGTCACGAACCATGTTAAGTAAACGTGAGACTCAATCCAGTGGTGACTCACATTGTGATGTGCTTCTAACCTCATCACATATAGCCATTTTGTCCTTAAACCCCTCAGTATGCCCAATACTAAGTTGACTCTAACGCGATTCGTGACAATGCGCTTGACATAAAGCTATCTACATGAAATGTTAGTCAATGATCAAGTCAATAGGGAAAATTAAAAACTAAAATTTGATGGTTTTGGGACCAAACACAGGAACTAAGGTTTTCAATAGTCAGTTTATGATTTTTGTGACATGTAAATGTCATGTGGATATCATGTGTATTTTTTGAAAGGTATGTGAAGAAAAGAATTAAATTGACTATCACACTAACTCATCTTTGGCTTGTTCTTTTAGTTTCAAGACGAACTTGCAATATCACCCAAAGTTGAAGGATTCTTCACGTAATTTGGCTTGTTTTTTTCCTCCTCTCTTCTCTTCTCTTCTCTTCCTTTTTCTTCCCTTCCACCTCTTTTAATTAATATGGTTTACAAAGACTCCACATACTTTATGTTTCTGCATATTCTGTATGAAAAATGCATCAAAACAGTGAATGAATTTGTTCCATAGGTATGTACATATATTTGTGTTCCCATATTATAAATGGCCAGCTGCAAATGAGAGTTCTGAAAGTCTCTGCTTTTGATGAGACTCCAAACTTTTTGGAATCTTATGCATTCTTTAGATTTCTTTGGATGTTGCTTGATGGATCAGCTAGATGTATCCATAACATATTGGCTATAGAATGCCTGGTAATTTTCTTCTAATGATGTACTACTATCTACTACCTAGGGCCTAAGTGAAGGATGGTACGACGGTGGAAGCATTGCCTTTGCTGTAATTCTTGTTGTACTTGTTACAGGTATGATATCTAGATCTCATATATGAGTATCTAATTTGTCTCTATTTGCTTTTACTAATTGAGTGAATTTAACCTCTGATAAAACAACTTGCAGTAAGAGTGTGCCCCTTTGAAGTTGTTATTAGTTACTTCTGTGATTAATATTTGCCTCTACCGGTGGTATTTTTATTCTAATATTTTTTCACTTCATGGTTATGGAGGGTACTTGCAACTTGGAAAACTATACAAGATAAAAGAAGTATGTTTATACATGTCCCATCCAAAGAACAGGAATCAGGATGCTGTCACTGCAAATGGACTTGAGTATAAGATAATAAGAAAAAAAATTTATAATCAGAGAGCATGTGATTCAGGTCTCTTTTCTTTTCCTAAGAAAGGAAGGGTGGTGATGGTGGTGGGGAATGGAGGTGGAGGCCAGATTTTCCTTCTGGGTGTGATGTTTCTTTGTCTTAAACAAGGTTGAAATTCTCTTCATGGGCTAAAATCCAAACTGTCACTAGTATTTGAAATGATGATGATGATGATAACATTCAAAGTCCAGCATAGATCGAGCATAATAAACCTTATTCATTCTATGGCTGAAAGGTTTTGTAGAGTGGCATCATGCATGGCTGAGGTATGACTATAGCTTTCTAATACCAAGATTTTCCAAGTCCACAATGTGAAAGAGTCAACTATTAGAAAGGTCTTTTCCCGAGGATAAGCAATTTGAGAAAATAATTTTAATTCTGTGATGGAAATCAGATTTAATCCATAATTCAGTTAAATTAGTCCTTAATCGAGTAAAAAAAATAGATTGGTTGAATATTAGTCGATTTTTTATGATTAATTATATTTGATTGGATCATGAGTTACTTTTGTGAATAAATATGACAACATACAACAAGTCAGCCTTGATGTGACAATACTGAAGATTATTATTAGGGAAGGAGAAGAGATAGTAGAATAAATTAAGTGTAGTCTTTATTTAATTCATTTCTCAACTAGATATTTCCTTTGTTAGTGTAATAGGTGTCTGATCAAGAGACTTTAGCATATATGGAGTTATGATGAAGTATTGAGTCTATCTTTGTTTCTGCTTGCAAGATCCACCCAACTTCTAACCCCATCTTCTTCCCTACCACAGTTTCACCCTCCTTTCCCGTTCACTCTTTTAATTGCATCTCCTTTCAAACAGAAAAAAAAATATTGTTTATTATCTATAATAGATACCTAAAGTAGCTTAGGTTTGATTCTGAACTCTGAATGCAGTACGATTGGTTCTTCTCATTGTAAGATCAGCAAAATTGTAATGGATATGACTTCTTCCTAGCTACAAGACATAGAAATATGGATTTTGATACTACAAAAAATTAAAAAATATACTTGATTCAAAAAATGATTGTTTATTCTTGGATTAAGATTTTGTGAACCTATTATTTCTATAGTTGATAGTTTGTGAGATTTTCTTATGAAGCCACAATATGGTCAAATTGTCAAGCCAATTAAAGAAATTTGCCATTAGTGTCTGGTTGTTAAATTTATTGTTAATAGCTTTTCAGGTTTCCTGTTTGTATTTTATTTTGTTTCTTGCCTACTACATTTTCTCAACCTCTGATTTTGGGAGGGTACTGAGCAGTCAGAAGTGTTTTAAGTCAGATCCAAATTGAAGATGATGTTTGAAGAGGTTTTAATAAAAAGGCAGCGAAATGTTATCATAGCTAATAGAGAGGAGAATAATGTTTAACTGCAGTTAATAATTTAGTAAGTGATGCAACGAAAGCTTCTTTTCTCCTCCCAATACCAAGAAAGTGCTTTTCTTTTTCCTCATCTGTGGGTGTCTATTGGAATCAGTTATTAGGCCACTTAATTGGATTTCTCTTGGTCATAAAAGCTGTGGAAAATATTTGTTCTGTCTATTGGATAGAGGATTGTGTCCATAGTAGATTCATATTTTTCTTGTAGCAACAAGTTTTACTTGAATAGCAGTATCTCCTAGATATTTCGAATTTTTTTTCTCTCTGTAGCTATCTATACATGCTAAGGGTGTCTAACATACAACCTTGTCCAGATGCAAACTTCTGCATCTATCGATACCTGCTAAGGGTGTTTAACATGATGACGATCTATCCATTACTTGACAAAAAAAACTGTTGCAATTCTGACAACATTTAGTTGCATAATTAAGCTGTGGAATATGGATGATGATTCATTCACAAATTCTTGCTCTTGGTTAAATACTTGGTTACCATCTATTAGATCAATACTTCTGGGAATTTGCATGTCTGTGTGCATTGTGTGGTTGGAAATTTCTATTGTTTGAACAAATGTTATTTATCAGAATATGGCATTCACAATTGTGACAATGATATCAGAAGATTTTGCTTGTTCCCCCCTTCAGTCTTAGGTTCATTAGTCTTTATGACCGGGCTTCTTTTTTTTGGCATGTGAGTTTTGCTTTTGGTATCCTGGAGGAAGTGCTACTAAAGTTCTTCAATTCACTTGATTTCATCTTCTTTTTAGCTGTCAGTGACTATAGACAATCCCTCCAGTTCCAGTGTCTGAATGAGGAGAAGCGAAATATTCACTTGGAGGTATGTACTAGCTTACAGAAATGTTTCTTTCTGAATTTTCTTTTCTGGAATACGACTTCTTATTCATATGCTTGAATATCAAGTCTTGTTAAGTCAAACTCATTAAATTCTGTATTGTTTTAGGTAACTAGAAGTGGTAGAAGGATGGAAATTTCAATATTTGATATAGTGGTTGGTGATATTGTTCCACTTAAAATTGGGGATCAGGTACAGTTCAACTTATTGAAACCTCGATTGTGTAAAATGATCTAATTACTTGTATGTGCTTTATAGGTTCCAGCTGATGGTATTCTAATTGATGGCCATTCTCTTGCTATAGATGAATCTAGCATGACCGGGGAAGCCAAGATTGTGAGTTTTCATTTTTTTTCTTTTTCTTACTGATTTACTTGATAACCATATCTGAACATATGATTTTCTTCCTCAGGTTCACAAGGACCAAAAGGCACCATTTTTGATGTCTGGTTGCAAGGTTGCTGATGGCTTTGGCACCATGTTGGTGAGCATTTTAATATGCTGATAATTCTTCAGATTCCACTTTGTATTTTATTGTCAAAAAATGCTGTATGCCTAAATTGAGAATCTGATTATGATATTAGAGCATTTTAATATGCTGATAATTCTTCAGATTCTACTTTGGATATTAGTGCATGAGGCTCCTTCAATATGTAGCATTTTTGGCAACAGGAAGTTTGGTTCTAATATGTTCCTTTAAAATTCTTTTATGGAAAATTTCTACATGTATATATGAGTAAGGTATGTTGACTGGAAATTTTCTCAATGTCTCATCAAAGATTTTGTTTGCTTCTTGATTTGAAGTATGATATCTACTAAAGTTTAACATTCACAATCTTGGCTTCTCCACTACTGCACTTACATTAAGAAACTTTTTTGTAAGTCAAATTCCTGCAATAAAGCATAAGTCAAATTCCTGCAAGAAAACATTCATACAGGAACACAATATTATCATAAATGCATTTTAAATGTTCATGAGTAGTGGTGGAGCCTGTAATTTTTTGTAAATGAATTTTAAATGTTCATGAGTCTTTACCGGCAGTCTAATTGCTAAATCCATTAGAGCTGCTATCTAAAGTTTGTGACTGAAGCCTGCAATTTTCACATCACATACCCATTAAACTATTCAATCCACGGGTAAACTTTTCTTTCAATTATGTAATTTTACATATTAAAGAGTCCTTTTCTTACCTCCTTTCTCAAACTCTCACAAAATAACAAAGAATTGAATGATAAGTGGTTTGCACGGTTTGAGGCATAACTGATGGGAATGGAATTAAGGGGAAATTTGCCAGTGTTCATGATCAGTGTTTAATAAATAGGGTGTGAAAAGCAATTTTCCATATTCATTGTTAAGTATTTTCTATTTTGAATCGGAGTTCCATATGCATATTATATGAAGTTATTAACCATATTATAATTATAATTCATTATTTAATTGCATTACTGAATATTACTTGTAAGATCCAAATGACAATAGTATGATGACATAGATCAGAGCAATACAGATGCTAATAGTAATGAGCTTAGGTTACTTGTAAGACTCATTTGACAGTACTATTGCTAGCCAAAAATAAGGAGCAATCATAATTAAACATGTTGAGTTCATGAACAAAAAGAAAATTGTCAAACACTGGTTGTTATTTGGGTTTCTGACCAACAGTCAGAAACGATCAGAAGGATGACATGTTGACATTAGCAGATATCTCAGCTCAAGCTTTCCCCTACTTGAACTTATGTGCAGCTTTTGTTATTGAAGCAGTGAGCCTGTGCAGAAAATGTTCAGATACTGGCCTCAATTTTGGTTGGTTACTAGTGGTATTTGATGCATGTTTTAATTCTAAATCCAGGAAGAGATTGTCCAAAAAAATGTTCAAAACAATTTTTGGTGCTCATGGATGGAATTTGATCTGCATGCCCAAGTTGCATCCCCAGGACACAAATGCTGAAGCAGAATGATAATGCAATTACTAAATCTATCCGATAATGCTTATTGTTGTCTTAAAACTCAGAAATTTGAAAAATTTATTCCGAGAATCATATATGAATGTGTTTACTTTGGTCACTTCTTTTTCCTTCTTTCAAAACTTTTTTTATGCAGGACGTGCTGTGACTAACCTAATCTTATATGCCTTTTCTAATCATCCCAGGTGATTGCTGTTGGAACTAATACTGAATGGGGTATGTTGATGGCTAATATTTCAGAGGATAATGGTGAAGAAACTCCTCTGCAGGTTTGTCTTGCTGTGATTTTTTTCTGAAACTAGAAACATGCTTTTTGTGTTTTACATGGATGGTTTTCACTGCTAAAGGTACGATTGAATGGTGTTGCCACTTTAATTGGTACAGTTGGATTGACAGTTGCTGCTGCAGTTCTCATTGTTCTTTGGGCTAGGTCAGTATGTGCAATTGTGTAAACAATGACTCGTATATATCTCAAAACTATGTATTTGTGCAAATTTCAGATACTTCACTGGGCACACCAAAAACCCTGATGGAACTGCTCAATTCATAAGGGGGCTTACAAGTGCAAAGGCTGCCATTGATGGTGCTGTTAAAATCCTGACTATTGCTGTATGTATCAATTGTTTTGTAAGTCTGTAGAACTTTTCAGTAAGGTGGCTTATTCTCAACCGACTTTAACTAGGTAACCATAGTAGTTGTTGCAGTTCCAGAAGGACTTCCATTGGCTGTTACCTTGACGTAAGAATATTAGATGCTGTTCTATGTAATATATATTTTATCTGATACTCTGTCTCTCTATCAGTTCTTTGGATTAATTGTCTTTATCTCCATCAGTCTTGCATACTCAATGAGGAAGATGATGGCAGACAAGGCCTTGGTATGCATCTCTCATGAATCAATCAAGTGTTGCAAGAGTATAAAAGAACTAAATCATATAAAATGGTTGAATCACAGGTGAGGAGGCTTTCAGCTTGTGAAACCATGGGATCAGCAACAACAATATGCAGTGACAAAACTGGAACTTTGACACTCAATCAGGTTGCAAACATATATTTTCTGGGTATATGCTTACCATGCAGTGCTCTTAATTACTTGAAGAGTCTAAAGCATAACTGTTGAATGTACAGTCATGTGATGAAAGTTTATAACAAAAAAAAAAGAAAAAAAAATTAAAATTTCTTATGTCTTTGGCTCTGAAAGGTTTACTGTAATGTTATAGATGACTGTAGTGGAGGCAAATGTTGGAGGGATGAAATTAAGTTCTCCAGACAATTGTGATATATTGACCGATGCTGCATCTCACCTGCTGATTGAAGGCATCGCCCAGAATACAACTGGCAATGTGTTTGTGCCAGAAGTGAGTTGTCCTATTTCTCACTGTAATTTATATTCATATACTTACAAGTGTAATGGAAACAATGGAAATGTCCTTAAAAATATTCTCTAATCAAGAAGAAGAAAATTTTCTAACCCATTTCATTGTGTACAAAAAGTTGCAGGAAGTTCAAATCTCCATTGAAATCCTTCCTTTCATGCTTAATCAATTGCTGCAAAAGTTAACACTGTAATAAGAAGCAAAAACTTGATGTACCACTTTATGTGTTAGTATGGTTGGTTTCAAACAACACCAGATACTGTTTGTTGGTATATGCTACATAAATATCCATATTTGACTTGCTGAATACTTGTTTATAAGATCTTTAATTGACTAGTCTAATGTTAAGTATTCATGCCAGGCACCCAAGAGATTTCATTGCTCAATCATATTGTATTTTTTCTTTGACTTTGTGGTTTCAAATTTACCATAATTTATTGTTCTATTAATGGCATTACTCTTGCGGGCCATGTTCAACTACTTACTACTGTATCCCACTTGCAATAGGATGGACCTGCAGAGGTCTCTGGTTCACCTACAGAAAAGGCCATTCTTTCTTGGGGAATCAAGGTAAAAAATTATATAATTATTTCCTCTTCCCTGTTTGTTCTCTTTTATCAACTTGAGATCATGAATGGAACCACATCTTTATAGCTAGGAATGAAATTTGATGTTGTGCGGGCAGCAGCATCAATTCTTCATGTAGTTCCTTTCAACTCAGAGAAAAAGCATGGTGGTGTTGCAATAAAGGTGGTAATTAAATTTTATAGAATATCTTCTATGTTGACTATGATTAGTAATTTATATTATTTCTTAGTTCTCATGGAATTTATTTCTATTTGTCTTTACAAATTGTCGTAGTCAAATACAATTATTAATATTCTTATGAAACCCTAGTATAATGTATATAAGATTTAATGTAATGGTGGCTCCATGTTGTGGTGTACCCTTTGGTTCTTTTCACCAATAGTCCTTTTCTACTTGAGCCCCTCACAATACCTAATATTAGGTCGACTTTGAGATTAATTGTCATGATCTGACCTGATAGGATAATTGAGCCCAAACCACAAGCATAAAATGTTTAAACTTTAATTGACAGTAGTTTACCCATCAGACTTTTATAAGTCAATCTTACTCTTATTCACTTCCAATGTAGGACTAATCGGGATGTTATATGATACCGTCATATGTTATTACCATATGATTAATGCTTGAGAACTATTAACCCAGTGAGAACTAATATATTTGTTATTCACACTAATTTGGTTAGGAATATCACTTAATGGGATAAGAAAAAGATTTCATGTTATGTTGATGCTAAAAATTCAGGCTAGGAAAAATCAGTTTGACTAAAATGTAGTATTGATCATTGATTGTTTCTGTACAAGCTTGAGAAAAGCAAGGGCCCTTGTTCTCCTAATCATTATATTGCCCGTAAGATCAGTAAAGGTCACAAAAATGGTCCAATTTCTTCATTTTGTACTTAAAGAGATCTTAAACCATGCAATTCAATATGAATTGATGTGGCTAACCTCATTGATATGGATGACAGCTTCTATTACTCTGTGTAGCTATGCTAATACAACAATTTTGGAAGTAAATTAGCAAAGTTTCTGCATATTTGATTCACTTGAAGTAATCTCTGGAGAGGTGTTATCTTCTGGATTGCCAAATAATCGAATTCGCTAGTGCAAATTACATTTGATTTCTCTAGGTTCATGCCATGTTAAATTGTTATTTTTTTCTCAAAATAAAGTAATAAACAACCAGTGTTGCCTTTTCATGAATAGGAAGAGTGCACTTTCTATAAAAGTTTGCCGAAGGCTTGATAACCCAATGATGTGATCTATTCTATAAAGATCTGTATAATGGGATGGTGAGAAATGGGCTGATGAAAACTTGAGAGATTCTTCTTTGAGTTTTTTTAATGAAAACAAAAACAAGTCAAGAAGATATATTTACTATTTAGTACACTGGTTATATCATAAAACGCTTGAGGAGAAATCATGTTCAACTTCCAACAAAAATAAGTATGATGGATTCTCCCAAATCCCAAGCTCTACAAGTTTGTGGGAGTCAACATTGAGAGATCTGTTAAAATAAGAAAAACTGTTTCCAGAAAATTTAGAAGCTCCAGCTTGGATACCCAAAATGATTGCATGAAGAATCCAGGAAGCCAGAGCTTCTCCATTAAGCACATGGCTATAATATTGGCATCCATGTTCAGCAAGGTTTAAAGCCTCCAATAAATCCAAGCCTTCAACTGCACTAGGGTGGTTAGCTTGACATGGTACATATCCAGCTTCAAGGGTAAATCCATCCCATCTTTTAAAGATATAACCTATACCTGCATAAGTAGTATTATCAAAAGAGCCATTACATTCAAGTAAAGTCATAGTTATGGCAGACTCCATTCTAGGGAAGTTAGAATTCAAAAAGGATTTGGGCTGAAGTCATTGGTGAGGGCTAGAGACTTCCAAGTTCGGAATGAATGGCTGGAGAGGTTGTTGCAAAACTTGGCACTATTCCTGTTTAACCATAGGAACCACAATGTTTTGGCTATCAAACTTTGAATTCTTTTGACAAAATCTCTTCCAAGATGAGAACCTTCTAGTAACCAATCACCCTGTTTCCTGGTGGAAAGGTAATTGAAGGAGAAGCCTGTTTTAGAACTGAGAAGTTGTCAAACGAATATTCAAAGAAGATATGGGAGGTAGAATCAAAGCAGCATCAGCAGACATAATAGTGTTTAGTTTGACACTGTCAGATGGAAGAAAACCAAGCAGAATTAGAAAGACAGTTCCAACAGAGTTTCAAACAGACTCTTCTTGGAGTTCCTGCAAGTTGAAGTCAGTGGCTAAAAATCCTTCACGTAGTTCAACTCAGTAAACTAGTTAATAACTTGTTATCTCTTATATCTCCATTTCTGCGATTAAGTACATACTTAAATTTGACCAGTGATACTAGTACAATGTTTCATATCTGACAAATTGTTGCTCATTTGATCTGTGCTAGAATTTTCATCTCTTGGCAATAATATTTATTTTAAGCACTTTTTTTATAGCAACTGTTCTTCCATTTGGTTTCTTTGCAGATTGTCCTTATATATGGTTTCCATATTATCATATTATTTAAATTTTCAGATTCATCTAATCCTATGTGCTTGAATTTGTTGATTCTATTTCCTTGTATGCTTTTTTCTCTTTCTTTATAATTGTAGGCAGATTCCAAGATTCATGTGCACTGGAAAGGGGCTGCAGAACTAATCTTAGCTGCTTGTACGAGCTGGTTTGATGCCGATGGTTCTATTCGTCCAATGACTTCAGACAAGGAAAAGCTCCTTTTATTTCATTGACCTTACTATCAATTATGTTTCTAACATATCAAGTTCTTTCAGGTGAATGAGTTTAAAAATTCAATTGAAGACATGGCAGCACTTAGCCTACGTTGTGTTGCATTTGCATACAGATTATATGATCTAGATAAAATTCCACATGAGGACAAAAGGGACAAGTGGGAGTTGCCTGAGGATGAACTTGTTCTACTCGCTATAGTGGGAATAAAGGTTTGTTTTTGAGAAATAAATTTGATATTTTCATGGACGATTGCTTAAGTTTCTTCCCTTAATTATTAATGTGTATGGTTTTTAGTCATGTCTTGCTCTAATCTTTATAATTTAGTTAGTGATTGTTCTTATACATTAGAACTATGGTTTTGATTGTTGAGTCCTTCCTTGTCATAACATTTTATAGTATAAAAAATAAATAAATTTAACCCTTGGCAGTTCATTAATTATTTTTCTGGTAACTAGTTGTCCATTATCAAGTAGTTCCAACTTCCAAACATGGATTAAATTTTGGTCCAAGACTAATACTGGTCAGCAATAGGACCCGTATAATGCCTGTACCAAACAACATGAACTAAAATCATGGTCTAGAATCGATAATGTTCTATAGCCACACCGATATGGTGTAAGCCATGCAGAGAGTAAGAAAGAAAGGGGAGGAGGAGGCTTACAACACATGAGCAAGGAGGAGGACAAGGAAGCAAAGGAGAAGGTGAGACATTATCTGGTTAATGTAATGGTTGGCCATCAGACTGGTATAAATAAGCTGTATCAACCCATACAGTCAAACTTCAATTCTTGTTTGCAACAACATCCAGAGTTAAAAGTATCTCTTTTGGCCTCTAATGTACAAATTGACAGAATGTCAAGAAGGAGATGAAGCTTTCCAACAGAGCTGCTGCACATTACATCATAAAAGCCATGTTTAATTATATGTTAAAGGAAAAGCAATAGGACAAGAAAGTTGAATATTTAAACTCATTAAAGGCATTGATACAATACCTGGGACTGTTGGTAAAATGCACACTTATAGATGTTAAAAAAAAACCAAAATAAATATAATAAAATGCAGTAAGACTAACCATCATTCCCTAGAGATTTTAATATATGGTTCTTTTTCAAAGCAAATCCATGGCATATAGATTGTAAAAAAGACTTGGTATATTATCATGGAACTGTTTCGAATAAAAATATTAATGCTTATTATATATAATTTTTGTTGCCTACTTTGCTCAATTTCCTATCGACCATGTCCAGTCCCTTGCTATGTGTACCTTCCTGAATTAATTTTTCTGTTGGGATTTATATTTTGAGCATGAAATAGCAATTGAATTGTCATCGACTTCTGTGGAGACCAGTTAAAATATACAAGACATAAATATACACGGAGCACAGCAGTGTCAATTAAAACCTAGGGATGAGAGAAAGATAAATTTAACACTCAACTGAAATTGTTGCATAATTTGTTTTTGAAAATGTCTTAATTGACCAAGTAGGTAGTTTATTTCTTGGTCAACTATTTTCTGTCTATAGATCACATCTCATGGTATGTATTTTAGTCAATATTCTGCCAAAATAAATTAGAGAAGGATGAGATAAGTTTCTCTTTTCCTGATATTGAAGTCAAAATAGAACATTGGGCACTGGTGTCCATTAAGAATGATTTGCTGTTATGTATATTGCTTGACGTATTGAAGAAGCCAGCACCAGTGTGACTTCTTGATCTAAGCATCTTTCATCCACCCTGGTTTTACAACACTTTGTTGTTTTCAACTTCATATTAAATGACAACATATATATCCATGCCAATCTGCACAAATACCTTACCAGCTAATGGGCATTGTCATGTTCAGATCCATCTCCTTAGTAGGTCTAGTGCTGTGGTACACACTGGCCTCATAAGTTCCTAGCATTGGATTGTCATGGCATTTACAAATTTAAAACCATGAATGTTCATGCAGATCCATGTCAAAATGATGATGGTAGTTATGTAGAGGTATATAATACTGTCTTGGGAATGTTGTAGGTCAATAATTACGTGACAAGCAATTTTATTACCTGAGGACAGTTAGAATTATCACTTTCTGTCAAGCATTCCCATTTAAAGCTTATCATAGTAAGAGTTCTAAGTCATGTTTTCTTTAGCATTGTTGTCTTGATGAGCACTACTTATGACAGTTTCAGCAGGCTGATGGTTTGTTTACCAGGAGGATGTTTCTGCCCATCCACACTTTTTTCATAGAAGTTACTACCACGTTTGCCAAATGGCACAGCCTACCATAAAGATTCTCACAACTATGGCAGGGTGGTACACTATTTTCTCATACCTCTATTCTAATTAGATAAAGATCCTTATGGAAGATGAGCTGATGAGCACCAAAATGGAACCAATGATGTGGTATCTTCGGTTGAATTGGGCTTGTCCTCTC